CTTTTATTAAGAATGTATTTAACCAGCCCCTTGGGATGTAATTTGTTGCATGTACCAGGAAGTTGAGTCAGTCGTCTTTCAAGCATCACCTTAGAAAAGAGATACTATATCAATTCATCCTAAAAACTCTTTCCAATACCTGAAATATTCTGTTGTATTTATACTGTACAGTGTTATCAAACAGTCTGCTGCAAGGAACCTTCAACACCCAGGCCATCATACTCTGTGATTGCAATTGGACTCAGCCAAGCTGGCAAGTCAATGCTGTTTGCAAAGCTGAGTGGGGACGCTTCTGAAAAACTTGAGCCCACTGTTGGTAAGCTCTTTTTGCAAGTGTCTACATTTGAATATACTTTTCAGATTTATCACTTTGAGTTGACATTTGTTAAATGTCAGAAAAAGTTTTTTTATAGTGATGTTTGTGAACACATGTTGATCATATTACTCCCAGAATCATGGAAAAGAATCTCCCAACTTGTTATGTAACATTGCTTCATGGGCTAGTAGGAAGAATTTGGTTCTATATCAAGACAATATCCCTTACTTCTGAGTGTAAGATATTCAGTAACTACCCATGTTAACTGTTTGATTTAATTCAGAAAATTATCTTTTACAAAATGATTGGCATACACTCAGCGGTACTCTAAATCTGTAATGTATTTTTGAAATGGCTATGATAGGTTTCTCTGTGAAAGCTGTCCAACTACCCAGTGCCATTCTGAATGTTAAAGAACTTGGAGGTAAGTGTATGACTTCAAAGTTACTTTTAGTACCAACAGTGATAACCCTTAAAAGATCACAACTTTAAAAGGTATCAAAAGAGACTGGGATTATAGGGAGTGAGGATTTGACTTACACTCCAAAAGACCATGTAGCAATGGGCCTCCTTTAAGTTATTGAATGTCAGGTAATTGTCATTTTACTAATGGTGCTGATGGTAGGATTTTTTCAAATAAATAAAATTATTAATTCATAAACTTATCTAACTTTGCATAATAGGTGGAGATAATGTCAGAAAATACTGGCCACACTATTTTGGAGGAGCTCAGGGGATAGTAAGAACAAAATATAAGTGAAGTTTAAAATTAAGCCAATGAGGAATTTTTCTGTGTTTATACAGTCTCATCTGAATGCAAGGAAACTTTGAGAAAGTTTTGCAAACTTTCAAAAATTTTCAAATTCTCAAAAAAATGAGAATGTATAGTAATTTAAATGTCTTATTGCTTATCTAACTAATATTGTTTTAGAACAATTGTCACAATTGTTAATTTTGGTGAAAATGCCCACAACAACAATTGCACAGCTGCTGTTGACCAAATCTCTTTGTTTCTGTGTAGTAATTTTAACTATGTCTGTAATTTGTATTTAAAATATGATAATAATTAATTTTTAAAAATTTCTTAAAATTTCTTAAAAAATGTCTGCCATAAGTGCTGGGCAGGAAGTGAGCCTTTACTCTTTCCTGTTCCTGGGAGGATCAAAATAAGACCACACCCAAGAAAATGGTAGAAAACAAACCTGGTGATACCAATATAACTACATAATGTTTAAAAGAATGATATAACCCTTCATGTGGAAAGGCTTTTTATATCAAGTAATGAAAGATGTTTGTTTGGATAATAAATCCTGCCATATTTTAAATAAGGATCATTAAGTAAATACTAAAATACAAATCAATAACCAATAATTTGTAGGTGTTTGTGGTGGACAGCTGTTGCAATGATGATGATGTGGATTTAGCTGCAGCTGAGTTACAAGAAGTCCTGTCCCACTCCTCCCTGGAATCCCTTCCTCTGCTGGTCTTAGCCAACAAACAAGATGTTAATGGAGCCCGCAGTGCAGATGAGGTCAGTGGTGCACCTCTTAACATTACTGCAGGATTAGAGATGTTTTTTTGTTTTGTTTTAATGATAAACAATGTTTATCACAGTAATCTTCTACATTTTTTACAAGTAGAGTCTTTTCCAGGTTATTTTGGATAATTTCATCATTAGGAAAAATAGATGTCTTCTGATGCAAATATTTGTTGACTGGTAAAAGGCCAGTTGTCCATCAACCTATGAATAGAGGGGGTAAGTTTGCTTAGGGTTAGGGTTAAGGGTTAAACTGTGGTGCTCCTTTGTCAGAGCTCTAAGGAAGGGCTAATGCTCGAAATGTCAGCTATGAGACTCTTTTATGGTAGCCAATTTACATTATCAGCTCAGCTGATAATGCTAAATCACCCCATCTAACTTTGACCCTCTGTCAAAGACAATAACTGTTGCATAAAGACTGACAAACCAATCAAAATTTGGGGCCTTTTTTTTCTCAACTTAACTTGTGATATGTGAATATGGCGTCCAAAGCGTATGCGGATGGTTGATTTTTTATCTGCGTTTTCAACTTTTTTAATCCACAGCTGTCGAGGATGATGGGGTTGGATGCGATTGCTCGCAAGAGAAATTGGCACATACAAGCGTGCTCTAAAGACGACACGGAAAGTGCCAAACAAGGACTTAGTAAACTAGTGTCATTTATCAATCCTGACACGGAAACATCGGAACAAAATAGATTATGAGCTCAGGAGAGTGTTCCGACTAACGAATGACATTTTACAAAACAGAAAACTACTAACATGTGTGTGATTTCAACTTTAATTTAATCGATTTCTGGGTTTCGGTGTCCTGGAGTTATTTGTAAAGATACTTGCGCCATAAGTATTAACATTATTCTTAGTCCTAGAAGTATAATTATCATTAATA